AGGTCTTGCCTGCCCAGGAGGGTCTCGAACCCACGGGCTCGGGCAATCCACTCACCTCAGTCTCTCAAAGGCGCGGGATTACAGGCTGAGCCACCGAGCCCGGCTGGAACAACGATTTATGGAAAGTTGATTTGTCTGTGGTATGTAGAAAGTATTGGAAGGAATGAGGATCTGAAGTCACCAGCTAGAAGGCCCCAAATTGATGAGCTGAATTGAAATAACAGCAAGAATATAAGAGTGGGAACAAAATGTGGGCAGCGACGAGATGATTTAAGTGCTGATTGTGGTTGGAGGACGGGGAGGAAACAGGGAAATTGAGGTTCTTTCTACATCTAGGAGATTGGGAAGAATGGCAGGAAGAGGAAGAGGAAGAGGTTTTGAAGGGCCATGATAAGTCCTGTGGGGACATACTGGACATCCTAACTCATGGTAAGTTGGCGATGCAGGTCTGCAGCGTAGCAGAGTCCGGGCTGGAGTGGCGATTTGGATGTCATCTGCACAGAGATTCTGGCTGAGGCCTGTATTTGGGAGACTGCAGTAGCATCTCAAACTATGTGAACCCTTAGCTTGTCTTCGGATGTGAGCTGAGACTAAACTGCCTCCTGATTTACACCTTTCACCTGGCTGGTCCTCAACAATTAGGAAGAGGAGAATTCTTAGTTTCCACTCTGTCCCAAAACACTGGCCTCAGGGAACAAGGACGCTCTCGACTCTCCTGGCACTAACCGCTGCCCCCAGCGGGACTATGCGCGCCTGCTGCCGCCGGCGCGAGCTCCCAGAGCCGAGGTGCGCCGGCGCGGCGGCGTTGCCTAGCAACCAGAGACAACAAGGACCGGAAGGTTCGCGCAGGCGGCTGCTGCGCAGTTTGCTGGGTCTGAAGAGTCGCTGCTCTGCAGGATCTCTTGACAGGTAAAAAGATAAATCCACGAGATGTAAAGAACCAGGGCAGAGGCCTGAGGAAAACTTGGAGAAGGAGAAGGTGCCGCTCAGATGAGGGCTGCTGGGGCCCCTAACATCTTGTTAAGGGTTGTTTGTCCCCGTCCCGCATCCTCAGGGTTAGACGGGGATCAGGGTTTTGTAAGCATCCCGCCACCTCCCATTTAACAGGTGACGAAACTAACGCCCAAGAGGGAGTCTGAGGATCTGCAATTCTGTTACTTGGTTATAAGCAACTCAAGTGGCCCCCATTCGTCTAGTCCTTCTCCCCTTTACATATTCTCAAAGCAAATCTCCCCGCTAGAAAATCACAGGCTGAAAGTTCACAGAGAAATAAATAACCAATAAGCTCGTGAAAAAATTTGGCTGCAATAATCAAGAAGATGCCATTTTAAAGCAGACTTGTTTACATATCCCGATATGGTGATAAAACACAAACACTTCAAACTTCACGGTATTGCCTAGGACCAGGTCTATTATTGCAATACTGTATGTTTAGGCTATTACAACTTCTTTGCAGTTGTTAAAAAACACTGTCCTGAAAAAGGAAAAATTAGTTCCTGAGTGAAAATCAAAGTATTTAAAACAACTTTGTGCAGGTGTAATTTAATTTGCTTCTTGAATATTATTCATACGAAATTCTTTTATAAATCAAAGGCCATTATATCTTAGAATTGGTTATAGAGAACTGTGAACTCATTTTTTTCCTAGAGATTAATTATTGGACAGATTCTCATTTGTCCAGAATCTTTTCTCTGTGTTTGCCTGAAACATTATAGGCACAAGGTCTAGGGCCTGTTTGCTTTTAAGCACCTATGAAAGATGTTTGAGATTTGAAAATATATATATTGGGTCTAAAATAGGAAAAGAAAACTGAAAAAATTATGTTAATTAAATGTTTTTATTAATATTAAAATTTTATGACATTTGAAAACAATTTTCTCATTCTGCAAGAATGTCCAGGTGTACATACTGATTGCTGAGTAATTTCCTTCTTTTTTTTTTTTTTTTGAGTTGGAGTCTCACTCTGTCGCCCAGACTGGAGTGCAGTGGCTGCTCCCGGCCACCGCAGCCTCGACCTGCTGGGCTCCGGCGATCCTTCCGCCTCAGCCTTCCAAGTAGCTGGAACTACAGGCGCACGCTACCACGCCCGGCTGATTTTTGATTTATTGTAGAGATGAGGTCTCGCCAAGTTGCCCAGGTGGGTCTCGAACCCGCGGGCTCAGGCAATCCACTTACCTCAGCCTCAGCCTCCCAAAGGCGCGGGATTACAGGCTGAGCCACCGAGCCCGGCTTTGCTGAGTAATTTCAAATGCAAATTTCAAAATTTTTTATGATGAAAATTACATTTATTGGGCGATGTGGGTACATTTAACATTTTAATATATTGGCTATAGTGTGAGTAACCTTACCCAGGCCCTCAAAGGTCTTAAAAGTAGTGTAGTCTGAAGTTAGGGACCTAGAATAGATGCCTTTCAGAAGTCTCTATGAACATGTGGCTTTTTAATGTATATAATAAATTCTGGTTAGTGTCTGTAATATTAGCAGTTGCTTTTGACCCTTGACATGCAAGCTGAACTAACCCTGACATTATAGATTCCCTCCAAGGATTTCCTACTTGCCAGGATTTCTCCTGAGACTTTGGTAATTTCCTTCAGGCTAGAATATACCATCTGAGATTGCTCTGCTGCCAAACCGAGATATAATTTCACAAACTCTCATTAGAGAAAACTAGAACGATTTCTTAGGTTATTCTAATAGGCATAATCATCTTGAAAAGTTCTCTGTACCCAGGTTGACTTACTCCTCTATGATATGCAAACTATGTATAAATACTATTCCTTTTACTTTTTTCCACATGGTCATGGACATATGGGTGCAGGTGGAAAAGGATCATGCAAGCAGTAAGCTCAGTTTCCCTAGGATCTATCTCTTCAGATTCTCAATTGCTTTTTTATTGAGCTACAGTTTCTATTGGAGAAAATGTTTTGTTATCTGTGAAGGTGACACAAATGTTGATTCAGATTTGGTAGATTTTTGTATACCATTCACAAAATCATCACTCCCAGGAAAATAGAATTAATAATTTTTAAATATTGAATGTCTACTATGTATCAGATACTGTTGTAGGTACTTGGAATAGATCAGTGCAAGAAAATAGACAAAAAACCCTGCCTTTGTGTCACCAATATTCTTGCAGATCTCAAAAGTTACTTGGGTTTAGTCTCCCAAGCACAACAGAAGTGAGCTCTAAGCATGGTAAACAATTTCCTGCTATATATGTAAAAGCTGTATCATTAATATAATAATTTTCTTTCCAAACTGAAAGCCAGGACTAATGCTCAATTTAAAATTGTAGTGTTTGAAATAGGGATATAGGCCACATATTTGTACATGTGCTATAATTTCTACATGTATTGCATTGCCTTTCAAGAGGCAAAAATTAAAAGGAGGAAATGAACCTCCTCCCAAGGGCATAGATAACTGAGAGGTTTATACGCATATAGCACACAAGTGACACTAACCATTTATTGCATCTTTTTTCAGAATGGGTAAAAAGATAAAGAAGGAAGTAGAACCTCCTCCTAAGGATGTGGTAAGTCTCTGATTTGAATACGAGTAGCACTTTAACAACCAGTTTCAAAAATAAATTGTTCAAGAAGTTTGGCATGTACCAGTATATACATGAATACACGGTGGCAGAAGTCCAAAATCTGACTAATGATAAGATTAGTCAGAGAAATCTAACATTATATAAACAAACATTTACAACATTGTCATTATATAATTAGCACAATTAGAGAGTAATTATTAGCTTTTCCAGTATGTGGATGGCATACTTATAGCCTAGTTAGTGAATAAATAGTTTGGATTGTTGTTTTAAATACTTTAGGTTTACATTTGCCAGTCTCTCATTAATTTTAATTACTTGAGTGAATTTTAAAAATAATGAAAAGTTCGGCTATAGCTATTAGATGTGTATATATGGTTGTCTGGTGATGACCATTTGGACATGAGAATTTCTGTATTTCCCAGTTCTATCAAGGGAGTAGTCTGGGATCCTCATCTTTTTCTATTCCCAATACTAAGTAATATATCTGCCACTACACAAGGTCCTTCTCTCTCACTGAAAGCATGGTTTTATCTTCTTCCTTTAAAGTTTATCAATTATTAAAAGATAATGTTAAAAGTGGAATATGACCTTTGACAATTTTCAGTTTAGAAACTTATTTTGAAACAGACATTTGATGTGATTTTCTTTAGATAAAATACAAATAGAAAAGAAATTAGTATAGTTCACAGATGCACAGGATTTTCAAGTTTGAAGGAACCTGAACTTACTACAGAAACTTTCCCTCTAGACTTGGAGGTTGTAGGAACAGGGGCTTTGAGCCAGCTCTGCCTCTTACCAACTGTGTTATTGTGGCCAAGTTGCTAAATTTGGCCAAGTTATTTCAGTTTTTCTCTTTTGAATGGGAATTGTAATATCCAACTCATTCTGGTTGTTGTATGAATTAAAACAAAATAAATTACATCAAGTTCTTGGTGCCTGGCACATAGTTATCACTAGGTAAGATGTATTATCATGAGACTCCTCTGGACTCTGAGTCACACACACACACACACACACACACACACACACACACACACACACACACACACACACACCCCTACCTGTGTAACTACCTAGGTAGATATTTCAATACAGTTGGCAACAAAGACTGTAGAAGTGTCTGCCTGTCTGCCCAGGTTCAGGAAGGCTTTGTAGAGATAATCACTGTGGTCTTGTGATGCTTTATCATTCTGGCTGCTTTTCTTTGGATACACTTCTAAAATGTTGCAGATTCTCTTATTTTTCCATTGTGTTCTAGGTTTGCATGACCCTCATTTTTGCTGCCAAATAGCATTATTGGCATCCTATTTGCAGAAAGTAGACTTATGGACGCAAGCACATTCTGATTAAGATTAGAATTGAGAGGCTAATAAGCAATAGATATATTTGTCTAATTTACTCTCTATAGTTTTATAATGTCTTGCTGGTGTTGTCCTCTGCCCTCCAATCCTTGGAAACACAATCAAGAACTTAAGAAACGCAATCCTAGCATTAGCAAAATACAGCTTTTGCCTCCTCAGTTCACAACAGCCTTGGAATAGTCAAAGGTATGTGTAACATTTACCAATGGTCCCTGACTATTCATTGCTTTTTCCAAGGGCATTCCATCCTTTATATACTCTGACTTTATGTTAATAAAGCTGATAGAGTAGTATTCAAATATCTAACCCTTTTTCTACCTTATAAATTCTAATACTTTGAAGCAGTATGTCACAATTTACAGTGCACAATTTCAAATATTGTGAAAGGGGCCAGGCTCGGTGGCTCAGTCTGTAATCCCAGCACTTTGGGAGGCCGAGGCAAATATATTGCCTGAGCCCGCAGGTTCGAGACCCACCTGGGCAACTTGGCGAGACCTCATCTCTACGATAAATCAAAAATTAGCCGGGCGTGGTAGTGCGTGCCTGTAGTTCCAGCTACTTGGAAGGCTGAGGCAGAAGGATTGCCAGAGTCCAGCAGGTGAGGCTGCGGTGGCCGGAAGCGGCCACGGCACTCCAATCTGGCCGACAGAGTGAGACTCCAACTCAAAAAAAAAAAAAGAAGAAGAAAAGTGCTGGTAATATGATTAAAACAAAAAGCTCCCTTTGCTTTTCTTAATATGCTCACTTGTCATTACATACATTAATATATGCATATATAGTTTACCTATATTTCCTTCTCACGAAAGAGAAACGAGCTAAGACGATGCCTAAATATGAAAAAGATATGGCTTAAAATGACCAATACAACCATATTCTGCCTTCCCAAATCATTTCCATGTCTGACTGAAAGGTTGTTGGTGATGATTTAATAGAAGAAAAACTTACTGTAGAATACTGCATAAAATAATTCCTAACAGAAAGGACTCTACTAGGCAGTATAAGGCAAGCTATTCAGTAACTCTCATAGGCTCTGGAGCTACAGAGCCTGAGTTTGAATCCTCACTCCATCACCCACTTATGCCCATCTATGACCTTCAGCAAATTTTCTCACTTCTGTGTACCACAGTGAGGATATAATAATGTTTGGTTCATAAGAGTACTCACTCTCAGCAGTCAGGTAAGGTTAGATAAATATAAGATGTTCAGAATATTGCCTGGCACTAGTTGCTATTAATGATGTCATTGAGGGTACTATTCATTATTCTACAGAACTGAATGAGTTTGTGTAAACTGTCAAAGGAAGAAGGAATGTCAGCTGGGGAAGGCAAGCTGACCACTGAAGTCCTCATGATGTGTGGCTATCATGATTCATGGCCAGGTCCTTGAGTTTGCAAGCATGAACATTGTATTTTCTTAATATTTCAGAGGTGATTGATCTTCAGTGGATAAATCCACAGTATCTAAATTTACAAGAGACTATGACCTAGCCCTGGACTCTTAATGATTAAGTATCAAGTTAATTGAACATTTGCATTAATGGGTTAGTACTTTCTCTCGCTAGTTAAATGCATATGGGAAGCCTAGCAAGGTGAGCATTGGTGGTGGCTCAGCCTGTAATCCCGCGCCTTTGGGAGGCTGAGGTGAGTGGATTGCCTGAGCCCGCGGGTTCGAGACCCGCCTGGGCAGCGAGACCTCATCTCTACAATAAATCAAAAAAATTAGCCGGGTGTGGTAGCACGCGCCTGTAGTTGCAGCTACTTGGAAGGCTGAGGTGGAAGGATCGCCGGAGCCCAGCAGGTCGAGGCTGCGGTGGCCGGGAGCGGCCACTGCACTCCAATCTGGGTGACAGAGTGAGACTCCAACTCAAAAAAATAAATAAATAATAATAATAGAACATGTTCCCTCACCTGGGAAACCAAATTCAATTCCTTGGAAGAGACAAATGTCTCCAGGGCTTGTTTTTCCAGAACACATCAATCTCAGAACTCAACCTTTAATTTTTTGTCATATACTGACAACACTGCCATGGACTTTAAAAAAAATAAATGAAGAATCTACGGGCTTATTTTCCCATTTTTCTTCCTCATTACAGATTAACAAAACACCATGAATTAGTAAAAAATATAAATTCACAAATAATATACATGTATCAAATGTGTAGATAATTATCAGCTATTTTCACTTCAGCCTTTAGCATTTTAGTAGATTTTTTTCTGTCTAGATATTCTCTACTAATGTTCAAACTAGATTAATGCAATATACTTCCTCCTGTGTATTTGTCTCTCTTTCCTGTGCAATTGGCTCCTCAAGATCCAAGACCACTGATGTGGCAAACACATTCAAACAGAAATCAGAAAAGCTTTCAATTTACACTTAAAATTGGTACCATAAATCTCACTCAACTGTCATGATCTAGCTATTTTCACTGAGTTCAACTTTATAATTTTGAATTTGTTTAGACCCATGCTGTCTAATACAGTAGTCATTAGCCACATGTTGTTATTTAAATTAAATTTATAATAATGTATTTTATTTTTTAAATTTTATTTTTTTTATTTTTTGAGTTGGAGTCTCACTCTGTCGCCCAGACTGGAGTGCAGTGGCCGCTCCCGGCCACCGCAGCCTCGACCTGCTGGGCTCCAGCAATCCTTCCGCCTCAGCCTTCCGAGTAGCCAGAATTACAGGCATGCGCTACCACGCCCAGCTAATTTTTTGATTTTATTGTAGAGATGAGGTCTCGCCAAGTTGTCCGGGCGGGTCTCGAACCCGCGGACTCAGGCAATCCACTCACCTCAGCCTCCCAAAGGCATGGGATTACAGGCTGAGCCACCGAGCCCGGCTTATAATAATTAAAGTTAATAAAAATGTAGTATCTCAGTTGCTTTAGTTACATTTCAAGTGCTCAAGAGCCATGTGTGGCCTGCCATTGCTGTATCGGATAGTACAGAATCAGGACATTTTCATCATTGAAGTTCTATGGGACAACACTATTCTAAACTGTCTTATTTCCTCTACAGAGTTATAAAAATATCTCTATAAGCCTATGGTCTCTTTAATGGGCTGGGCTTAAGATTCAAAAAGGAGGCAAAAGACTTCCATTTTCTTTCATTCTTTTTGTAAATAATTTTGTTTTATCACTTATTTTGTACAAAGCGTGAAATTATAATTTCTCAACAAACTTGTTGGTGACTGTGACTTCCTCACAGGAAAGCAGATGGAATATGTAATTACAGCACGGGATTATTTATTTAGTCATGTGGCAGTCTGTTATAACTATCATTTTATTCACAGCACCTTTTTTAATAAAAAATTACTATTATGCTGTAGGCTCTGTAGGAGAAACAAATGTCATGCCAAGTTTCTCCGCCTCTGCCAAACACTGGTATTTCTCCTCCTTTGACAGCTCTTTAGATTGCAGCTCTCACAGTCTCAAGCTTCCCCTTGAGCTTCTTGTACCCTATATCACCTTTATCTCAGGGATGACTGGAAGGTATGACAAAATACTGAAGCATTTTCTAAAACATTAAGGGGAGAGTAAATGATTTTTTTCTTCTAAACCATTGAAGACAGAGTAAATGATATTTCCTATAGCTTATGTTTAAACGTGTTTGCATGTACTCTACTCCTCTGAGACTTGAAATTCCACGGAGAACACAACATAACTTGCTTCACCATAGTATATTTATTCACATGCTTATAAAAATCAGCTTTAAAAATATTGAAACATTAGAGGTCTGTGAGGTGAAAGTTTAAGACAAAAGAGAAATCTGTTCTGAATGTGGATTGGTGGAGAAGGTAGCCAGCTGGAATATTCAGGGAACTGCCTTAAGTGGAAAGTTGATCTAAAGGCTGTGGTTCACAGGGGCTTGGGGTGGGGGGAGGACAGTCAGGGAGCCCTGAAGGTAGAAATGGGAACTGTGGATTCTCTTCCCACAAAAATACACTCCAAATATTTTGAATACAATTTCTTGGGGAGACTACCCTCAAAGCTTGTAGATGGCTCCTTGGATCTCAGATTTAGAAGCTTCTTTCCTGACATTGACAGAAGTATATATTTAAGACACTTTAAGGCTATTAGCATAAAAAAAGTTTCCAGAGGCACTTTAATACATTCCTCTATAGACATTTATTGAGTACTTCCACATTCCGGTCACTGTTTTTAGGTAGTGAAGACAGAGCAATAACATGGTCTTTTGCCTGAAGAAATATATTAATTTACTGGACAAATCCTGAGTATATACCATATGCAAGTGTTCTTCCACATCCTAGACATAAAGATGGAACAAAACCAAGTTCAGGTCCTAAGGAAGCTTACATTGTAGTGGAAGAAATAGTCAGTTTATAAGTAATAATATAATTCAGGTAATAAGATCAATGAAGAAAAATAAAGTGAGATATGGTATAGAGAATGATGAGCTACTTTAGATAGAATCTAGATTGGGGTACACCTTCTTGGTGAGGTTACATTTGAAAAACTGTTAAAGAAAATATTATAAGAGAAAAAAGATGGACTATTTTTTTTGAGTTGGAGTCTCACTCAGTCACCCAGACTGGAGTGCAGTGGCCGCTCCCGGCCACTGCAGCCTCGACCTGCTGGGCTCCGGCGATCCTTCCGCCTCAGCCTTCCGAGTAGTCAGAATTACAGGCGCG